AGTATATATGGTGTATAAGCGGTAAAGTCGGTTGTTGTATCTATTATGGGTATCAAGTGTGGCACTTCGGTTTGAACCTTGAACACTCGGCACAGAAAACCTCAGCGTTCCTGCTTCCATCGTTACCACCACTGCTAATCCGCTCCTCAGTTTGGGAATTATACCTGAATCGTCGTGGTTATGTCTACTATCTATGAAGTAGATGAAGCCATCGTCATCGTACTGCACGAGGTCTCCCGTGTGTAGACAACCATCGCTGTCAATGGCGCGTGCCGTCGCTTCAGGGTTGTTGATGTAGCCGCGCAGTATATTATATGGATTACGGACGCACATCTCTCCCGCTACACCAGGGGGCAGCAGCTTCCTAGTGATTGCGTCCACCACCTACGCAGATGCCATCATAATTATACTTACATAAATATATTTCCAGTTGGTATGTGTGATGTGAGTTGTAGTATGTGGTACAATTCTACTTATTACCGGATTTAGTTGTACGTGCTATTTGGTTGTACCGAATGCTATAATATTATTGGTTTGAACTTTGAGGCGACATCTCTATGGTATCCTTGCCAAGTAGAACGGATTATGGGTCGCCAATAAATCGCAACAGCCAAAAACAAATATGATATATACCTTGATCTGTGTGTTTGCTAGAGGTTTTCCAAGAAGACATCCTCTCGTGTTGCTATCCTGATCCTTTTCCGGCGGAGCGCCTATGACTACTGATCCGACCTCAGACATTCCGAAAAGCTCTAAATAGTTAGTTAGATAATTAGTTATATACGTTTATCTCGGGGGCTTCAGGCATCAGCTAGGTTATACGGCACTCAGGGGAGTAGTCCCTCGGTGAACGGTAATGTAATTATATAAATAAAAAGCAAACCTATCAACATCTGATGATTAGAGAACAAAGTAGACCACGTTTAATTGACGGAATTTCCAATATGCCCTCTTATCTCGGGAAGCTATTTATGTCTAAGTCTAAGTCTTACTACTATTAATGATCAGGTGTGGATGCGTAATTCTAGCTTCTCTGATAACTGCAGGGCTGCAGCTGCCCCCAGCCGTGTCACAGCGTTGTAATGTGGGCAGCTCGTAACCTTGCTTTACCAGACTGACGATCAGTGGAGGAATGCAGAAGGTATAGGTGACCTATAGAGTAATAAAATCATGGCGCGTCAGTTGAAATTAACTTGCATTTTGGGAATATGATACAAATACTAAGGAATAATATTGAGTTTATAACGAAACGGTATGCTCATGATTCTCGTGAATTTGGCAAAGAAGATGAAAACGAGACTAACATAAATTATCAGCATACTAATAGATACTAAATTTGATATATCGATTCTAATTGTTGTATCTACAATCACAACTTCATATACCTTGTATTTGTTTATTGCTGCACTGTATAGCCCAGGATTACTGAGATTAGGCAGGGACAAGGTTACTGCCCCTTGAGCTAAACTGTGTATCGTTACACACATGCCGCCTCCAAAAGCTAGAGGAGTTGCCACCAGAACTACGTCTTCTTGTCTCATGTTTACGCTAGAACGAGTAGCCAATGATATAGAGTTCGTAGTTGAAACCAGATATCTACCATGTTTGCTTGTGCAAGATGGCTATACAGTGCTGGCTATATATATATACGCACTTTAATTTCGTTGAATTGATCGATAAATTCAAAAGTCTTACTCATTCTTCTAAATTTCTAGTTGAATAGTTCTAATTGTTCGAGTTTAAATTCATTTGCGTTACTGCTGTCTGTCATGCATAATCTTAACTAATGCACGATATTGCTACCCATCAGTGACCGTCCCTTATAATGTGTGACGTTGGGTAATGCTGAATACCAGGTAACAGTACAGAGATTAGCCACGAGTTGTTTGTGAGTCCAAGGTATCCCTTTTGGCGGGCCAGTTGTTCCGCTGGAATATAGCACGATGGCTAGGTCACCGGATTCAGCACGGTTTGTTTTAGGAAATGCGTCGCCAAATAAAATTCGTGCCTAAAATAGCAAATGGTAAAAAACGGCGAGTAAATGAGGAGCGGAAGGTTGTTGTTTATACTCACCTTGGGCTAAGGTTTACGGGTCAGCACTATCTGAATCTGTATATCGTATATGTTATTGCACCTAACGTGATTATTCCTATATGCGTGTCATGTTATGTCATATTTTAAATATTAGCTGTGAGTAGGCCTATGTGCTTTTATTTAACCGAAGTAGTCGCGGTATTCAATTAGCCATAGCAAGATCCAAATCTAAAACTAATAATTTGTTATAGAAAAGCTATATAACAAACATGTAGGACGTAGAGGAATCGATCTGTTGTCTTGTAAGGGTAATTTCTGTAGTTGGTGCAATATTTAGTTTCTGGCTCTAGAAAATAGTCAATTCGCGAACATAGACTTTCAATTGACACATTTTCTAAATTTAACGCTATATGTCGCCACACAGGCGTTCTTTCACATTGAGGTCGCTGTGGAAATCTTGTGCACATATCCTGTGTATTGACAATGACTACATATACCGTATCGATTGCACACACATGTCAGAAAGATGCTAAATAACAGCAGGTTATGATTGATTTTTTTACTGTAGTATGTGCACAGAATACATGCAATGGCATAGTTAGGACTGTGCCACGTATTTGGTAAAAACAAGCTCTAAGTTTACTTGTATCTCGTGAAATTCTATGTTGCGTAGGGTTGACCTCGACAGTAGCTGTTTGATGTGCGAGCAGCAAAACTGTGAGATTCATACAGAATTATTTCCAGTGTAACAGTCAAAACATCAAGTAAATCCGACGACGAGACCAACAATCCCACGCCACGCATCTTGTATCGTCTCGGATGAGTTAATTGCGTTTCTATTATTGTTTTGCTTGACCCGTCCTTGCGCGTCTAGAAATGAAAACGAGGCCGCCAATTTTCGGCGAAAAATTTGATTTGTAATATCGTGCGTGGCTATATAAAATGACGTAACACACGGTAGCTTAAAATATTTCATGCGAATCCAATCTGTATAAAAGATCGACGAATCACTGCGTCTCCTAACGATGTTGTTGGTTTAGAATTAACATTACTGCTGCATGGTAACTTTGTCTGCACTTATATAGCACACTTCCACACTATATCATCTTGTAAATTCACTTGATAAACTACATTGTTTTATATGCTTTTAATAAAAGCACATCACGTATAATTTTTGAGTGGTGTTATTTGTTTATAGTAGTTTAGTTTAAAAGATAAAAACAACGAATTAATAAAGTTGATTTGGTTGCATACCTGAATAGTTATTCGTATGCCTGAGCTTGTAGTTCGCTGCGCATGTTTTTACCGGTTAAATTCTTCGGAATGTTTTTCAGGAAGCGAACACATCCTGTTAATGTGACGTACTTTCTCGGTGTCTTCTCTGAAAAAAAAGATAGTCAATCGCGTAACATGTGTAAAAAGGTATTTTAGAACATGTATTCAATATTTTAGGAATTATACAAACGCATGGGAATATCTTTACCACGACTGTGTTGCGAAAGACAGATTCACGGACGGATGTACGAATGGACCGAGGGAGCGTTAACCAAACGGCCGGACAGATTTGTGAATAGATGTATGGATGTGTGGATGGATGGATAGACCGATGGATGGTTGGATGGATGGATCAATTGATCGATCGCTTGCTTGATTGATCGATTGCTTGATTGATGGATGAATGGATGGATGGGTAGATGAATGGATGGTTAAATAGCGAGAGAGAGAGAGAGAGAGAGAGAGAGAGAGAGAGAGAGAGAGAGAGAGAGGGGGAGACAGGGGGAGTGAAAGAGATCTTTAGGTAGAATACGAACTACAGTCACCTGTTGCATAAGAGCATAAAAATAATTAAGCGACAGAAAGGTACAAAAATGACAACGAACGATATTACGGTGAATGCAGGTGATTGTTTGAGCAGACCAGTACCTTTCACAAACTCGATAAGGTCTTCTGCAGATAATGGGTCTGTTTTACGGACGACGAAAGCTCGGATTAGTTCGTATCCTTCGTTGTCTGGATCTGGGATGCCGGTAACAGCGACGTCTCCTACTCCTGGATGACTCATGAGGATGTTTTCCATTTCTGAAGGCGAGACCTGCACACATACCGCAACGCCAATTATGAATGTAATCACTATACAGACAGCGTGAAGACGCGAAATTGTTTGTTATGCGTATATTCACGTATTTACACCTCTGTTTAATCTGAGACGTGCGTGACATTCATGAGAAGATGTTTGTTTCCTGAACAAAACAGTTTGGCTTTGTATTATCGTTGCTGCAAGCCATCGCGATCGCTGGTTCGTTGTGTTCAAGAGCAGTATATATGGTGTATAAGCGGTAAAGTCGGTTGTTGTATCTATTATGGGTATCAAGTGTGGCACTTCGGTTTGAACCTTGAACACTCGGCACAGAAAACCTCAGCGTTCCTGCTTCCATCGTTACCACCACTGCTAATCCGCTCCTCAGTTTGGGAATTATACCTGAATCGTCGTGGTTATGTCTACTATCTATGAAGTAGATGAAGCCATCGTCATCGTACTGCACGAGGTCTCCCGTGTGTAGACAACCATCGCTGTCAATGGCGCGTGCCGTCGCTTCAGGGTTGTTGATGTAGCCGCGCAGTATATTATATGGATTACGGACGCACATCTCTCCCGCTACACCAGGGGGCAGCAGCTTCCTAGTGATTGCGTCCACCACCTACGCAGATGCCATCATAATTATACTTACATAAATATATTTCCAGTTGGTATGTGTGATGTGAGTTGT